AATTTGGTGAGAATGATAAGCAAGGAAATAGGAGAAACATAAAAAAGCTGACGACGAACAGAGTGATGAAATGAGGTTTTTTAAGGTATTGAAGCCTCGACTTTCAACTTGGATTTGGTATTTTGGTGGATTTTTTTGGTAAAACTAAGGCCAAAATAAAGAAAAGGTGATCAAAAGAAATTTTTTGGGGATTTTTAAGAAATTTTTTAACATTGGTGACTGATGGTGAACTATAGTGCATTGTGGCCAATGGTGGTGATTGGCCGATTTTCGAGTGGCCTTGAATTCGTCGATAGTTCTTTAGCTTATAAAAAGAGAAGCTATCTCTTTTAAAGAGAAAAAAAAAGGAAAAAAATGAAAGAAAAAAATATTTTTGACTTTTATAGCCTAAAAAAAACTCAATAATCTAAACTGATCTAGTTGAACCAATTCTAGAATGGTTAAAACCTTGAACCACAAAAAATGCTCAAACCATCACTGAGCTGAACCACCCATTGCCATAAAACCGCTTTAGACCTCAAAAAATCAAGTTAAATTGTTTGAATCAGACCAAACCATTTTTTGGATCATTTTATCGATGTTGACTAGTTATTTTCTGGGTAATTTCTTCTTTTTTTTATTATTATTTATTTTTATATATTTTTATTGAGTTATTTACTTGTTTATCGATACATTCCTATAATAAATACATTTTTTAAAATAAAAAACTATAGTTAAAAATATGGTAAATTAATTTTTCAAAAAAAATAAAAAATACATATATAAAGTAAAATAATATGAATGAAAATTTCTAAGGAAGAAATATTAAAAATGTTCGAGTAACAAGTCCTTAAAATCTCTAGGTGAAAATATTTTTCTAAAATACTGTCAAAGTAATAGAGTGTTAATGTTCAATACAAAAGTTTTCATAAAAATAGAATAATAAAAAGATAAATAAAAAGGATTAAAAAATTATGAATGAATGAATGAATCTTTTTTAATAATAACAGAATTATCTCTAATAATTAGATCTTATAATTTTACATATGACATAAAAATGACAAAAAAAATTGTGTATAAGTTTAGTATAATCATGTTTTGTGTCTTAATTGTATCGATACAGTTAAGACACGACATTATTCGTGTCATGTCAAGCAATAATGATACATTTAAATAATAGTTTGTAGCCCCATGTCCTTGATATGTTAATAGTAATTGATTTATTGATTGAGTGTTCAAACTCTTAATTTTAGTGTTCAAATTCAAATGCTATTAATATTAACTATAAAAAAATAATTAATTTATTATTTACTATAATAATGAGATTGTATTAAATGTAACCATTAACAATTTTATTTATGATTTTCAATATATTAGGATTAAAATATTATTTTATATAATAACTTTAAAATGTTATTGAAACCACTTTTTGGCAAAATATTGATTATTATCACCGTTCAGCACCAAATTGCTCCCAAAATTTCTCTTTTCCTCCCAGACACTTTTATAGTATTAGATTTTCCTAAAAACCTGTATATCTTCGTAGACTGAACTTGAAGCTATCGGTTTCAAAGTCCCAAAAAGCCATCTTTTATCACTCAAAAAACCCTTTTTTTTTTTTTTTATAAATATGTTCTGCTCCCTGTGACTTTCTTTTTCTCCAAAAATTAAGTTTCGAAAACCCAAACCAAAATCTTAAAGACACTCTTTTATTCTGTCTCTAATTTTTTTTTGTGGTGTATTGCTCTCCTAATGTGTTCTTCTCTATTACTGATTGTACTATTTTGTCTATGTTGGTTGTTTAGAGTGTGAGGGTGATTCCTACGTGGGTGTTTTGGTGGTTATTTGACTGTGAGGTGATGTTTTCTTAAAAGGGAAAAAGAAGGAGAGATTAGGGTTTTTATTTTCTTTGCCAAAAAAGGGATTAGGTTGCATACCGAGGAAAAGGAAAATGGAGTTAGAAGTTTCTCATTTTCTTTTCATGTTAGCAATTTGCAAACGACCCTTATTTTAATCCCCAAATATATTTTTGTTTCTTACCTTAATTAATAATTCCTTCTTCCTCGATTCTATCATTCGATCTTATCATTTTCTGCTTAATATCCTTAGTCTATAAACTAACTCCAATGGAAAGTTACACCAACAAATCTAAAAATTGAAGTCATGACAACCAATGAACCCTTGGATTTATTTTCCTTGGTCAAACAATTGGACTAGACTGCCCAGCTTACGGCATTAAATTGAAAACTGCCGTGTATAGGTTTAAAAGTATAGTAATTTTAGCCTTTTAGAATTAGAGGGTGACATTTGATTATCAATAATTTGTCACATATATCGTTTTTTTTTACGAATTTTCTGAACATCGTAATTATCCCAAAGTCAAATTTTTTATGTAAATGTTAGATTTAGTACTGGTCTCATTTTGGATGTAAGCGTTAGGTTTAGTACTTGTCTTAATAGATAAAAGTTTTTCCCACTTCACTTAACAAATACTTGCTAGGTTAGGTGAGAAATATTTGGGAATTTCTTAATTCAAGTTGTAGGAATTTCAATAATATTATAAATTAATTGATTAAGGAATCGACATCATTAAAATTGGTTGAGGATTGACGTAGGGAATGAGACGAATAGAGTATTCTTTACTTTTATTTTTTATATGATATCAATATCTTTATTGGTAATCAATGGGTATTTTAATTTTATCCCTTTTTTCATGAATATTTAATAGGTACAAGTAATTTTATACACATCTTTTTAAAAAATAAAAAATAAGAAATAATTTTTTTATCTTTTTTAATTTTTATTTTATATATTTATATAATTTTTTAGAAATATATAAATTTAAATAAAAATATATTAGTTCTAATTAATTTAAAATAAAATTTTATTTACTAAATATATAAATATAAATATATGGTACGAATATAAGTACGAAATGTATGTTATATTATCTACCTCTGTATCTATATTTCAAAAAATTTAAAATGATATATATTTTCATCTCCATCTCCAAATTTAATGCCTAATCTTATTCAATTCGAGTAAAAAATCAAAATTTTCATTAAATTTAGATAAAATTAACATTATTAGATATGGTTAAAATCTGATGAATTTTTTTTTTTTTTTAAAAAGAAATAGAATGTGACTAATTAAATAATTTCATTAAAAAATATGAGTAAATAGATACATGCATGGTTTGTATAAATAAATTTTATTTATTTATTTATAATTGTAGACATAAAATAATATATATAAATTGATATTTGAATTTTAACCCTATAAAATTCTACAATAATTACATAATTAACTTAGCTAAGTTTCCAACTTTCATATTACTCAAAGTTTATTCACACACAACCACTTAATTAATCACTTTTGGTCAAGTGTCAACAACAACCAATGGGGAAGAAAAAATTAAATCCTATTAATTGTTCCTTTGATAACTTTTATTAGTAGTAGACTTTCTGACTGCCCATCTTTGAACTGAACCTTGTTCAGACAGATCTTAACCGTTCCTTCTGTGGAAACTGCCACGTGTAGTACATGAGGTACTTGATTGTGATGTTACCTAACATACAGAATGCTAGTTGGTCAATTGACTGGCTGTACAAGTTTAATCAGTTCATAGCATTGCAGCCGCCTTCTCTAGTGTCAAAGGTTGATTTCAACAAGTTTATTAGCATCAAATTGAAATTTGATTTTATAAACTAAATTACGTATTGAAAACGACCCTTTCCTATATATGACGATACCACCAAGATTGATCATCTTCCATACACTATCTCGCAGTTGCAGAGTTGCTAGTTTGGTAGCCATGAACACTCTTGTCCGAAATGCCACATCTAATTTTAGTCATAGAGTTGATGGCTACGAGATCTTGGATCAAAACAACGAAACAAGGGAAGAAAATATTGGTCAATTTAGGACGTTTTCCAAGAGAGGAGCTGGAAGTATGGTGGCTTCCTTAACTTACAGGCGAGACCGGGCCAAGAAAAGGCAGATTTTCCTGAGATCATACAAGTTATCAGCAGTGGACAATAATTGGGAACAACCTAAGACAAAGTCAACGAAACTAAAGAAGATGGTGCTCAAGGTTAAGACCGTCGTGGTATCAGTAGTGTCGTTTATGCGTATTGGTTCTTTAAAATCTTGTAATTGTCGATCAGCAATTTGTGCAGCTGCTCCTATCTCGATTAAGAAGTGTTGTTGAATGTTTAAGGAGTTAAATTTGGTTAAGCTGTAAGCCTTTTTCTCTTGTTCATTTTCTCTGAGCTTTAACTTGACTATTATGCTGAGGAGACTAACAACAGCAACTATTAACTTAAACTTTGCATTTTAGCACCGGCTAGGAGATGATACAGCGATGGCTATTCAGTCATCTGAATGTAGTTAAAGTGCATGATTCATATTTTCTTGGTTGGGTTATACAATGTCCTAAACTAACTTTATTTCATCCATCCACCAGGCTATCTAGATGTCAGAATTAAATATAACACATCAGCTTTCTCTAGAGGAATGAGATATCATTGGGCCAAAAAGGTGCTTATATGTTGATGATCAATTTTACTTTGCTTTTGTCAATGTTAAGCAAAATGTATTGACTTTGGCATTGCATGAATTTCTTATTCCACATTTTCTTGAATATACCACAATTACCAATCTTATTCCTGAATAATGGTTGTTTGATCATGTTATTCAATCAAATTCTGGCCAAGATCACTTAATTTGAAAATGTTCAAAATTCACCCATGATAATACTTATAATCTAATATATTGTACCGAATCAAAAGGTTTGGACAAAACGTCAAGTTGGTCTCCATGAAAAATTGGTGTAATTTAGATCTTCCAGAATTAGAATATGTCAGCTTGGTTTGGTTGGAGAGAAATCCAACTCGTAGATAAGTTTTTTCAATTAATCATCATTTTAGTCCTATATAAAGAGCAACCTCAAATGGTTGGTATCTAAAATAGACAAACAGAAGGCAACATTTGAATTCAGTTTGAAATGACATCCACAAAATCCGGTTTAAGTAACATCAAAGCCAGGTCTCAAATTCTCCACATCCACCCTTATGCAACAATGTCCTAAATCAAGGGAGCAAACCCAACACCACCTCCTCCTCCATCTTTTTCCCAGATTTCTCTGTGGAAGAAGAAGAAGATCCTCTCTTTCTTCTTCTCTTTCTCTATGGACTGTGCCCCTCCAAAGGGCTGATCAGTAGGATAGTCAACCGCACACCATGGACTCTGGACCCCCTTATCCACCAAAATATGTCATGCTCAATGATCAAGGGAACCCCAGGCACCCTCCCCATAGACGCCACATTCCCCGTTACCATTCACATAATCATGGTTCAGGAGGGAGATGTTGCCTAAAGTGTATATGTTGTTGCTATTGCCTCCTTTTTGTGCTGATTCTTGTTCTCTTTGGCACAGCCTTCTTTCTTTTTACGGTTTATAAACCCCAAAAGCCTTCCTATAATGTTGGCCATGTTGAGGTCAAGGCTTTCAATATCCAGACAGATCTTAGCCTCTACACAGAATTCTCTGTTTCCGTAAAGGCCGATAATCCCAATGATCATATAGGCTTCATTTATGGGAAGGAAAGCTCTGTTGCTGTTTTATACACAGGGGCAACCCTTTGTTCAGGCAAGCTCCCAGCTTTTCATCAACCCGGGAATAACATTACTTCGATGAATATTCTATTGAAAGGAAAGAATGAGTTTGGTTCAGGTCTTCAAGAAACTCTCCTTCAAAACCAGAAGAAGGGGAAAATTCCTTTACTCATAACGGTAAAGGCGCCCGTAAGCGTTGTCATTGCAGGCTTCCCGTTAAGACAGGTTGTTGTTTCAATTAACTGCTCTTTAGTTGTTGACAATGTGTCGCCAAACCAAAAAATTGGGATTTTGTCTAGTGACTATGCTTATGACATTGCCCTCTAGGTGCCATATCTCCTCAGCCGGATTTTCTCTCTTCTTTATTTGTACCTGACTCTTTCCGGCTAAATGAGAGAAGATGATTAGCGGAAGCATAGCGATTAATGCAACATTCCGATTAACCTTTCCCAGGATGCGTATGCTTCCAAGAAAACTGTAAACAGAATTAAAGATGTAGATTTTTTTGTTGCATAGGCTCTTTTTTTTTTTCATTTTTTGTAGTTGGTTTTGAAAGTGAAATGAGGTTCTTTGTCCTCCAATCTCAATTTCTTATAATCTAAATTTAACCAATATACTCTGAAAATTGTTACATTAACGCTAAAGAATGGAAAAGGGAAATTTTATGTTCTTTTGTTTGTTTCCATTTTGCTTTTGCTACCAAGCAATCTGATGGTAAAAGAAAACATAACCGAGAATTCGCAATATTTGGATCAATACTGTAATCAGAGATCTTAAATCAATTCAAGAAACGAGCCAGTAGTACAAATTAAATGGTCACACATTCTAACCAGGTGATTTCCTGTTATACAGGAACTTAACTTCTCAAACAACAGCCGAGCAATATAAGTTAAAACCTTCATACTCTCCAACAAGCTAGTGATTTCTTGTTACAACCATTTGCACCGGCTGCTGATGCATATGATGAATGAATACGACTTCTGTTCAGTATCTTAAGCTTTACACAACATAATCCTTTTCTGCAAGCCAGTTTTCTCTTTATTTCTTTCATAGACAAGTTTCCATTGAATATTTTGTCTGGATTTTGTTGTATTAATCCCTAAGCTGACCAGTAATATATTTCTCTTCATAATCTGATATATATTCGGCAATGAAACAGAGTGGGACTCAAGGAAACTGAAGCCTTAAAAATCAAAGAAGAATGAAGAAGTTGTTCTAGAAACACTGATAAACAACAGCAGAAACTTTCATTTCATTAAATATTCAAAATACAAAGTTTTAAGCTACTTTTAACTGCTATATAAAGTTTGTCCGTCTGATTTTCCTGACATTAAGGAGATCCACAACTTTGCATGACAGCAATCATATTCATATCTTCCAAAAAGATTTGCTGGAGCTTAAGAAATCAACAAAATATTACAAAATGCATTTTGACAGCAAAAATACCAGAACTGCTAACACTCCTCCTTTTTTGCAGGAAACACGCCCCTTAATGTTTCAAACCTTGCTTTGTGCAAGTATCACGGACCTAAGGAGGAGTCCTGAATCCCACATCGAACATAATAGGAAAGTCTCTGGGGTATAAAAGGGTTCACACCATCTCCGCCTTGTGAGGCGCCTTTTGTAGGACAAAACCGTGAGGCCAAGGGGCCAGATCGGACAATACCTCACAAGGGTGTGAACCGTGACGGTCAGGCTGATTCGGGATGCCGGAAGGGTGAATGCCCGGGTCCCGGAGCCGCGCGGGTTCGAAGCTTGAATCTCGACCTGTGACAAGTGGTATCAGAGCCAGCTCTAAACCGTTCGATCCACGCCGAGCGGCTCGAGTGAAGTAGGCAGGGTGACCGGCCTCCGTGACAAGAGCGTCACGAGGTTGGATGCGAGAGAATGTCACGGACCTAAGGGGGAGTCCTGAATCCCACATCGAACATAATAGGAAGGTCCCTGGGGTATAAAAGGGTTCACACCATCTCCGCCTTGTGAGACGCCTTTTGTAGGACAAAACCGTGAGACCAAGGGGCCAGAGCGGACAATACCTCACAAGGGTGTGAACCGTGGCGGTCAGACTGATTCGGGATGCCGGAAGGGTGAATGCCCGGGTCCCGAAGCCGCGCGGGTTCGAAGCTTGAGTCTCGACCCGTGACACAAGGCCTTGGTCAGAATGTCTGCAATTTGAACTACTGAACTGGAATGGATCAGCCTCACTTCGTTTTCTGCTTCAGCTTCTCTGATAAAGCGGTACTTTATCTTTATATGATTAGTTTTTCATGGAACACAGGATTTTTTGCCATTGCAACAGCTGACTGGTTTGCTTTTCATTCAAATCCAACAAAACTTTCATTAAACAAATTGCTTGATTTACTGCAACTGCAACAGCTATATAATCTGCTTCCGCTGTTGGTTGTAAAAATAGTATCTACCTTCCTTTAACTCCAACTAAACACACTTGATCCGATTGAAAACACATGCTGAGGTGCTCTTCATGTCTTCATGAGAACCAGCCCAGTCACTATCAGCAAAATCAGTAAGTCTTGAGCCTTTAGTCTTCTCGTGCCTAATTCCAAGTTCATAAGAATAAGATCCTTTGACATATCTCAGCACCCTTGAAATGTAACTCGCTAAGATTTTGCATGAACCTAGGGAGAAAGCTTGCCGCATACATATTCAAATCAAAACCCTAATCTAATTAAACTCACGAAAAGAGAAGTCATTTTTACATTGCACTTATAAGTTTCAGTAAAAGATTAAAAAAGTGTTTATATTATTATTGCCTACAGTTTTTTAACCACCAGTAAACCGCCAGCTAGGTGAGTGAAAACTTTTTGACAGTCAAGCCACCAATTTCAGAGTGTCTGAGTGACACATGTATCTGATGATATAATTTTTATGACACTTTAAATTGTCATTATAAATAAACGACCTTTTAAAAGCATTTCATAGTACAAGTAAAAGTCACATTTTACTCAATTTTTATATTTACTAAGTGAGCTGTATTAATAATTAAAACTGCCCTTAAAAGTCTTATTTTATTTTTGTTAAATAATTTCCAAATATCCAAACAAAAAAAAAAAATTGCTAGATCCCTTTGAGTTGTTATTGTTATGTTGCAAACTTGTGTAGCTTCAATTTATAAGTTCTGTCCTTATTGTTACTGTTGTGCACATGCATAACATTTTGCTTGATCACATTGAACCGAGAACCAGAGCCAGTGAGAGCACAACCAAAAACACAATATTAACCATCCTTATTTTCAGTACTTGATATTAGAATTCAACACAAAACAAATTATGGGAGTTCACAGGCTTTGACTATAGATTTATATAGAGGAATGGAAGAAGAATAATTGAATAGAAGATGGAGATGAAACTAGAACAAAACAAAAGAATTATAAATGAAAAAGTTACATGTTCCTTATGGGCATCAACAATCTGTATAATTGAGGAAAACAGATATGGAGATGAAGTTTTAAGAATAACGGAGAACAAGAACATTAAGTTTATACATGAACAGTTCTACCAAAACAAGCAAAAATGAGTCAAAAGCAAAGGGAAAAAGGGTATCTGGTGAAGCAGACTAAATTTTATTTTTTTAGTAAGAAAAAGGCTCTTAATGTCAAGAATACTTATGATTTATAAGTATTAAAATCAACAAAATTCAATAGTAGTGTCATTTTTCAATGTCTACAAGCTATTAAGAATATCATACAACTATCAAAGGCAAATTGCAACCTGATACCAATCCTATTACAAATATTGAAACTATCAAAACACCAAAAAGTTATCAAAATACCAATTATCTACAATAATGCAGTAGTATCATCCTCAAAGTATAACAGTGAACATCATTCTAAAATATAACAAAACTAAGTTATTGATCCTCAAAGCTATCAAATTACCAAAAAGTTAACAAAATACCAATTCAACAATGATGCAATAGCATCATCCAAAAAGCTCCCATCTTTCCTTAGTTATTTGCACGTACTGATCCCAATGAACTCAATGCATCTGAAATCGACGATATAATATAATTTTTTGGATTAGTAAATAACTATTATTTACTAATTAATAATACTTAAGTCCATGCTGCATGTGGAAATCTCCTTTGCATGGCAATTACAAATTTAACTAACTCAGCATTCACCTTTTTAAGTGAAGCTATCGTGACCTCAAGTTCACTCACTTTTGAAACTTTTTCTTCCAACTTGGACACTTTAGCTACTTTTTCTTCCAAATTGGTAACTTTACCTGTCATAGCTTCTAACTTCTCTTGTAGCCTAAGTACTTTTTCATCTATACTATTTTCAACCTCATTCAAGGTTTGGAAGTGGCAAGAAGACAAACCCCAAATCTCTATAAGTGTAAGGCCTAATCCCAAGCCTTGTACACGACCTCATTCACTGAAGAAGTTATAGCTTGTGATTGCTCCACGTTGTTAGAACATTGAGATAACAACTCCTTTAACTTCTCCCATAAAATATTCAACCAATAAGTGAGGGCAGCAATGGATATTCAACCAGTAAATACAATTTTATAATCAAATAGCCACTTACAGCAGCTTATGCAGTAGCAGCATCCACAAAGCTTCCATCTTTATGTTGACAAATGATCACAAACAATTCTATTCTATTCGGTCCTCCCCACTACTTTATTTCTATTACCACAAAGATAAATATTAGGTTTGGAATGTATTGTCACTCTCTTTTCTTGTTCTATTTACCTATGATTCCAGAGATGGATTGGCTTAAAGCAACATTTCTTTTGTATACAAATAACCAACAAAAATAACAGAAATAGTCAACTATCTTAACTAACTACACTCTTAAACTCAATCAAGAAAAAAAAAAATTGAGAGCTTCTCAATAATTTCAAACAATTAGATAGAGGGAACTGAGCACATGGCAATAAATATCTCAGTATAATAATCAAGAGATAACAAAAACTGGTTCAAATTATGCATTTCACAAATAAGTCAGAAGAATATAGTTTTATGATTGATTTCCACACAGTAATTTATTTCAATCTGACCATGATTCTTGAGATAACTTTTACATATCCATCTTTTATCGCCAAAATGTCCAGCTAACTCAATGTCAACTTCTCCACTAGGTATATACGTCATTGTCAAGAAATAATCTTGTAGACTAAATTCAGAGACTTATATTCAATGGCACTTCTTCATTGGAACCAGAGGGGACCAAGCCCTCCCACCCCCCCCCCCAAAAAAAAAGTTTTTAAAAATGTGGTTTGTATATATTAATATTAAATAAATTTAACTCTTTAAATTAAAATTATTAATTTATTTTTTTGTGATTTTAAATTTAAATTTTA